TTAGTATATACAGTATATAACTTTAGTGGACAAATATTATATTAGATTTTGTTATATGTAGATCACTCTACCCTTAATAAAAGGTTTTTTTACGTAATAACGATAACGATAAATAAATTAATAATTGTGGAAAGGATAATCATGTAAGAAATTAAGAAATTAAAGAATGTTGTGTTGCAACGGCAGCATTACGTATGTCATGTACATGTACATACGTAGTTTTACGATGCATTTATCATCTGATTTTTTATATCGATATATGCAATCATCAGAAACTTTTGTATGAATGTCTGGGAAAGTATTTATGGTAAAGTTTTATTGCTGGCTTTTGTTTATTTTTATGTTTAGACAGCCTTTCTTAGACTATGATTCAATTGACATAAATAGGAACGCGCATGTAGGATGTCCTGCGAGTTAAAACTTTAAACATAAAAATCACGGACTATACGAAGATTGACATTATCACCAGAAATTCTATATTATATATATGCGTCAGGTGAAAAAATAAAAGATATGTGTATATGTATATAGATTTTTGAAAATGATGAAAAAATACAAAAAAAGAAACTCGACCATTATGTATATACAAAGATAGATTCAAAAGAATTACAGAACGACACTCATAAAGATGATAATGATAAGAGATGTTTTAAAAATAGTGCTGATGATTAAATTTGTGTGCAGTCCAAGAAAGGCATGTTGATAAAATTTAATAAAAGGAATGCCAAGGATAATTTTTGATTGGAAGGGAGTAAAAGGATCGGAAAGCATGTCTGTTAATGTATGCGCCATATTTTTCGAATCGAGAGAGTAAATGCACATACATTTTGAGGGTGTACTTGTAATTGATTAAATGGAAAACGTGAAATAAATAACAGACGGTAAGAATTGCCAAGCAAAAAAACCATAATAAATTCTCACAAATAACGCGAATACTCCCCCAACTCATTCTTCTCAGATCGTTTTTGCCATTTTAACCCAGCCCCCACAATCTTCCAGCCACAATCACACCGAATCAATAAATTAATCATCGAAATCATAAGCATAAGCAGTGTTTGCATCAATGTATTGACGAACTTGTGATTGTGATTGTAATTGCGGCTGACGATAAGGTGGCGGTGAGAGCGGGGTTTGGTAAGGCTGATACGGCGGTGATTTTTCATCGTTACCGGTTAGCTGACCAGGGGGAACAATCGCATTGGTCAATATATTCGTGATCGGGGAGACGGGAGGAGGAGGATGAACCGGCGGGGTTTTTGGAGCGGCAGGTCTATGATGTTTTAGTGTTTTATGAAGAACGGCAGCAGCATTTTGTTGGTATTGAATGTAAGCATCAATGGTAGATATATCATCATATGCATTTTTAGAATTAAGGTGAGATAATAATGATGGATGATTATGAAGAAAATACGATTGATTATTGAACTGATTTTTGAGCAGAGCATACCCGTCGTATGGAAATGGCGGTGGCAAATCCATATTAGTTGATGATTGGGAAGGACTTCTATCACGTGGAGATGACATTTGATGCTGAGCCTGTGCAGCTTGTTGTAATTGTTGCTGCTGAGCTTGTGCAATTTGTTGTTGTAATTGTTGCTGCTGAGCCTGTGCAACTTGTTGCAATTGTTGCTGCTGAGCCTGTGCAACTTGTTGCAATTGTTGCTGTTGAGCCTGATAGTGTGCATGCTGCATTGCCTGATGATTCCCTTGATATAAACGGTTGTCAGTCATAGGTACATATGAAAGAAAACGAGGATCAATGCCTCGTAGTTTTGTATCACGTGGATCTATTGACGTTTCGCCAGCAAGAGAAATCTGAGGATTGTAAACATTCGTTGACGAAATTGGATACACTCCATACACACTATCAAATGGCCTGTGTCCAGCAGCTATAGGAGGTGGTGTTGGAATATGTCCAGCATTCATAGTTTGTGTTTGAGGAATATTAACAGTCAAATTATTCGACAGAATAGTTGAATTTGATGGATGTGGAGATGCAGGAAGTGCAGGTGCAGGTGGCTGAATTTGTTGATCACCCTGAGGTGCATTTTTCTCCAAGATATTTGCAACTCGCACACTTTCCTCCACTTGGAAATCCATATCAGCACCCCATAAGCAAAATTTGACTTGAAGTTGATGAGTGATACTGATAAATCGACCAGAATAAGTTGGCTGTACACTTCTCGGAATAAACAAGTTGATAGTGTGCACACATTCACCATCATAATCACTTGCAACCGGTTGTACATATCGAATTTCTTGACGTGGAACGATTAGCGTAGCAGCTGGTTCCTTTATATGACGTGTTTCGTTCGGATTATTGCATCGGAAATCCATGCAAGTTTTTAATTGAATCTCCACTCTTTCAACACTAATACCAGGTCTAAGGAATCTGATGCGCATTGGAATTGAGACATATGTTCCAAGATTAAGAATTTTATTCGGCGGTAAAACAAACGTATAGTCGAGACCGCTACGAGATTCACCGCGTAGCTTATAGGATGCGTTATTCTGATTATCTATGACCAAAGTCTTTTTCAAAGGACAATAAACCTCAACAATCTGGTTATTTGCAATCACCATGTTCCCCTTGCGATTAACAGTGGCACGAAGGACATAATTCACAGTGCCAATATCAGTAGTTACAGTCTCCGGCAGATTATATGGAAGTTTTACTTTGAAAGGGATATCAAGGGTTTGAATTTCTCGTTGATCCTCCGTTTCCCAAATCTTGAAGGTAATATCCGCGAGAATATGTTCACCCATGTACAATGCTTTTGATCTGGCTTGTGCTTTATACCATGATGTTTTTTCCGCGCCTTTTAAATGCAATATGACACTACGAATCTGACGTGGTTGGCCATAATTCAGATGCACAGTACCGACGAGATATGTATCCGAGTCACCTAATTGACCTGTTTGGAATGACGTCGTGCCACTTGCATATGAGAATGTTATATTTTTATGAGATTTTAAATAGGCGCTCGGTGGAGGGCGATTTTTTGGACCGATATGACCAATATTGTTGGCAGGTGTTTGTGTTGATGTTTCCCCTTCTGCTGATGCTAATTGATGATTTGTTGACATATTGGCCTTTATAGAAATAAAAAAAACTTAGATGAAAAATCTATTATCAGTATCAAGTTTTCGTTATAATTAGACCGGCAAGACCGACAAAAACTAGTTGGCGCAAATGTTTCAAGAATATCATACATATAAGAAAGAATAAAGATAAGAGTTAATAAAAAGCATCCTTTTGAAATGCACAAGCCTCTACCTTTTTTTGACAATTAATAGTTAACAAAGACGTACCTTTATTAAGTGAAAATAGAAAAAATATATGTTTCACTCGTTAACGAAAAATAATAGAAACGAACGTAAAATCTAAAAAAAAAAAATAAAGAAATAATAATATATACGCAGTATAACGTTTTATTTTGAGTTTTCTGAGGATGATAAATAAAAAGAGAAAAGAAAGACAGAAAAAACAAAAGGCGAAATTCTATTGCTATATTGTATGCGGCTTTTTTTAAGCGAGAAACAGGTATAACGATAACTATAAAGACAGGTGTATCAATCAAATCAATGAATAAATTGAACAAAACTGCGATGCTTATTTATTACACTATCTTTATCAAATTTTCCTAAAAAAGTTAGGATATCCCGCGAACCTAGGATAAAAGGATTGACAGATGTTACGTGTATTATCATTATTGTATATCCATTATGAGGTTTGTTTTAATGATACAACCTAATCGCATACGTATGTAACTCGTGTATGGATACATGCAATCTTACATAAATAGCATGGACACACGGGAAATTTTTATTCGCGTTTCTGCCGTGAATGAAAAAAAATGGTGTGTAAGCTGGTAATGAACATGGTGCATAATCTGCTTGGAAAACGAAGAATGTGACCCAAGAGATATGCAGGTGTAGCCAAAATAGAATTCGAAATTTTCTTTTTGTACAATCAATAATTTGAGTTTAGCTTCTTATTTTGTCAAAAAAATCGCGAATGCCGTTTATCAGTCACAATACATGTATCCGGAAAAATCTATTTAAATAACAACAAACAAATGATCCATTTTTATTGGACCTTACCGTTACTTTAAACCACCAAGGCTTGATTGAACAATAATTTGTGGGTAACAGGAGGTTTATCGTGTTTTAAGTGTGAACATTACCGTTACCGTTACAAAAGTACATGTACTACGGAATTCTTAGACTGGTTTAAACCAATCGGACCAGTTCAAACCGATCACTAAACTTTTCCAAAAGGAAAATGACCTGATACATAATAAGAAAAGTGTATAAATAAGAAAGAAACGTTATTTTTGTACGTTCTATATTAGAATTGTATTTGAATTTTTTTCGTATTAATAAAATGCATCTGATAACTTTGAAGAATATTTTTGATATGAAAGATAATTTGTATTAAAAATAACATTATTGCTATTTTGGATTTTCATATTTAATTTTTATATCGAAATCAATAAAAGAGTTCTATATTCCAATAATATTGAGCGAAAATTGCATTGAGAAAAGTGAAGACAAGTCTGTCATCCCGCCATGGACGATATGACTCAAAATCTCATTTGATTGTAACAGCAGATCAATCGGAATCATAGAATCATCCGAACCTTCTAAGGTTATCGAATCCAATGTCAGAGTATTAGACCTCTCCCGACTTGATTATGCCCCAAGAGAAGGCAAAATGTCAAGATACGAGTTCGAAATTTCAAGGCCTATCATCTTTGACCAGAGAGCAACGAGAGGACCGTCTTCGGTGGCGTTGTGCATTAATGCTTGGCGAGGATCCCGATAAGTTTATGATGATTAGAGGTGAGAATATGGAATTATCACACTCATATGAGAGCTGATGCTCGCATATGTCTCGGTGCAAAAGAAAAAGGGGAAGACTCCAAGAAGTACATAAAAATGTCAATCCGTGAAATGTTAATAAGTGAAGAATTATTGTAAACCCCTGTATGGCTTGATGTTGATGAGGATTGGAAAAAAACACTAAACACACTCGAAGAAGATGGTATGCTCTTCCATTAGATTTATGAGTTGAAGACTCTGTACTCTCTGTGTCCTGAATAAAAAGTGGCCGTCAAATGTTTTACATCACAAAAAATAAAATTGTAAATTCAATAAGATTACATACAACCATCTGAAACTCACAAATTCTGACGCATATTGTTTACCGATTTTGCAAAACATGTATATAATTCTTTATTTAGTTAATAATCAGTACGTAAATTGAAATAATAATGATCGATGCAATTTTACATGATGCGTTTTTTTTTGACTGTTTACGATGATGCAAATAATTTAAAACCGATATTTAAATAACTAACGACTAAAATTTAAATAAACTATTCTTTACCACTCTGTATACCCGCCTTTAGCCTCAATCACATCATTTATTCGTTCGGGCATACTTTCAATTAGACTAGTTAAAAAGTTATGATCTGTTTCTATCCATATTTTTTGAATAGCTTCCCATAACTCATCTTGAGTACGAACTGGATTTTCTCAAACGTATATCCATCTCATTCCAGAGATGTTCTATAGAGTTGAGTCGGGAGATTGTGGTGGCCATTCTAATATCTCAATATCATTATCGTAAAACCGTTGCTCCGTTGAATTAGCCATGTGCTTCGGATCGTTATCCTATTGGAAAACGATATTATTCTTATCCAACTCGTAATGCTTGATAGTTCCTAACAAGTCATCATTCAAAATTTCGCAGTATAATTCCTTATGCATGGTGCCAAAAATGCGTACGATGTTACCAACGCTGAAGGAAGAAAAGCAACCCCAGATCATAATACTTCCACCACTAAATTTGACCGTAGCGGTAGGTTTTACATGACTGTCTGACCTATATATCATAAACTTAGGCTCGTCTGACCAAATCACCCTGTTTCAATCATCCACTGTCCAATCCTTGTATTTCTTAGCAAAGTTTAAACGCAATTTTCGATGTTTTTTTTTTTAATATGGTTTTTTTCGTTTAATTTAGCAGAAAAACCATTTCTACGTAAAGTTCTTCTTATAGTAATATCACTTACATTGATTTTATTATTAGTTGTAATTTTTTGCATCGATACAGCATTAGAACATTCACCACTCAAAATATATCTTATAATATTACGCTTGTCATGGCCTGTAAAAAATCGTGGACGGCCAAATTTTGCTAAATCTTTTACAGAACCAGTAGTTTCTATTTTTTTTTTTTAAGTCGGATAACAGAAGATTGCGCAATATTTTCTTTTGATGCGATATAACGGGAAGAGAATCCTTCTTGAAGAAGGGCAGAAATTCGTGATCTTTGTTCGATAGTGATACGAATATGTATAAAATTTATATATTATTCAAGTTGTGTTTTGTTATAAAATTTGTAAATGTTATATGTATTTACTTTTGAACGAACAAAACAAACGCATCGCTGCAATATTACATTTTTGTAAATTATGTTGGTTTATTTCCAAAAATAGTAATTAAATGAATTTTAAGGAACTTCTAGTTATATATTTATTTGCACATGTTAATAACGTGTAGAATCACGAGATATTACTACATGTGTTATCATTTTTTTATTTATGTGATGCAAAACATATGACGGCCACTGTATATCACACACCAGTTGTTACCAGAAAAAATCATTAGCGATGGGCTTTTTGAACTTCTCAGCTCGAGAAAAAATATTCTCGATGAGTGATACCAATGTCACCAGTGTCACTAGTGACACTCGGACTACCCTTACTTTTTATTTTTTATTACTATGCATGTTCATCTATATTCGTAATATACAATATATAGTATAGGTATCATGGGTAAGTAAGAGAGAAGCGAAACGGGCTGAGAATGTCAAGGAAACGTCACCAGTTCTGTCACTAGCAAAAATTTTACCTAGTGACAACTAGCGATAAAGTACATGTACATTGGTATACTTTGTTTCGGAGTAGCGTCCCAGTTTTTTCTAGGACGGATTTTTTCTTACTTTATTTACTTTTACCTATACATATAGGTATCATGGGTAATGGGTTTCGATTTTTACTTTTTACTAGGACATCTAGGACAACTAGGACGAATATATAATAAATATAGAACTCTTTCTCCTAGAACATAGTCGTCCTAGATAGAATAATTTTTTACTAGGACGCATCTAGGATGGGATTTTCTTAGGATGCGCCTTATTCCTGGATAACATAATCACGTTACTGGCATTCATTATGCAAGCAAAAAATAACGCAATTCTGCATTTATTATTAGGATAACACTTGCTTACTATTGGCCTTCCATAAATGACGTGTCAAACGCACGATCGACTACCATGACACATTCAGAAAGCAAGCAAAAAGGAATGCTAGGACACTTCGTGTCTGGGCTCACATGTGGCCTGACGACGGAAATGCGCCACCGTCGTCGGTGGTCTGACGACAGAAACAGACCACCGCTCGTTTAAAGTCAGTTCATGTGTATGGTCCCCCCGTTATAGTAATCTTCAGAAATATTTATAAATTATGGAAGAAGACTATAATGGAAATGGGTGGATATAAGCTCAGAAATATGTATAGAAAACAGAAGTTATATTACATTTCATTGTTCCCAGAGATAAGTTAACTTGTTTAAACAAATATAATCAAATAATAACGCAACAACAAGAACAACCTTCAGGATTATTGGGTTTCTCAAGATTATTGGGTTTATCAGGAGTCGATGGTAAGTCAGGGAGACCATACTCCTAGTATTAGTCATCTTTCCTCTAGGCTCCTTACAACATACCCGTCAATCACAGAAGGATAGTTTCTTGTTATTTGTTGAGTTTGTGATGTTACTATTGTGATTATTATTGTTTGCGGCGGAAGCGTTTGAGTACAAGACTTTTTTTGTATTTTTGAACCATAAAATGGAAGAAAACGCAGTAAATAACATTTCGCAAGTAATACTATAAGGATACGCGGGGTAACATTTTATGGATTGCACTTCGTGTCTCATTGAATGCATTGTGCAAACTTCATGTGATCTATGGTTCAAGTAATTCAACAATTTGCTTCAATTTTAAAATCTTTCAACTCAACGTAGAGAATTCCACCGGTAACTTTGTAGAGCTTATCATAAAGAAAGTTACCGGTGGAATTTGAAAATTTTGTCTCTACATTAAGTTGTAAGATTTTAAAAATTGTAACAAATTGTTGTGGCTAGATTTAGCCAACTTCATGTGATCCATTATCCTCCCATGTGGCCAGATTTATGAAATGCACCACCTTCGAGTGTGGCCAGAATTATGATATGGGCCATATCATAACCTAGACTAAGTGGAAATAACGATAAGTTATTTCCACTAATGTAGATAAAGTGAAACATACACACATACTTGTGCAATTAATAATATTGAACATTATGTAATTAATGGTCATGCTGGGAAACCAAACCAATAGACAATTTTTAAAGGTTTAAAGTTTACAGTTACTTTCGGATTTTTACGGTGGCATAATATATATATATATAATACGATACTCACAATGAAAAGTCCATTCCACGACATCGTCGTCGTCGTCAATCTTTCTCTAATCAGTATCTTTGCATACATATACAAGAATCTAGAATCGAACAGAGGAATTCTCTACGGAATTTATTTTTATCCAAATTATTAGTCTTTTAGCGTTTTTTGTTTTGTTTTTCAAGGAAAATCACATGCGATGTTTTGGAATTATTCATTTGACCGAAATAATGGAATTTTATTGCGGAAATCGCCACTACGCAAATTGTCAATTTCTGTATAGAATTTTCTGGGTGAATAATCGATATGAGATCCTATTTTTATCGTTATTAAATTAAGTGCAGTTCTGATAAATTTTTTGCAGCAATATCCTTTTACTGGGTCTACTCTTGAAATGGGGGAGAAAAGAGGGATTGCCTATACGTACGTATTTTAAATTTACGCATACGTACGTTCTTGTACTCACGAACAATCTTTTCCTATCGGACATTTATGCCATTTCGATGTATAACGTGTTTGTTAAAGATGCTTACATGCTATGCCGCTTTAATCATTGATATAGTTACCAAATAAGTAAAATAAATATTTGTTAAACGCTTCATTCGTCCTAGAATGCTTCTTGCCAGATATAAAGTTTCCACCTTGATGCATTTAACTAGTTAATTATACAATTTTGAGGTTTTGCTGTTAAGCGTGTTATGTAATCCGGTTTTACACAAGGGATATCGATATGTAAAGTGCCAAGAACCTTGACGCGAAATAGACATTTTTCCTAATAATAAATTTGTGGGGAAAGATCCATCGTTTCATGTTATCGTTATTATTGAAGTTACTTTTTTGGCTTTAACCACCATCGCCATCACCAATAAAAAACTTTCCGATCCACCATGACCCATATATATATATATATCGATATATACTAAGACACTGATCGAGCCAATCACGAGAATCGAATGAATAATGGATATGTATGCTGCATGTGGTCTGTATGCGTATATATTTGTGTGTTGGGAAAGTGACAATATCTTTATGAGAGATTTCCATTTAAAACTGAGAAAACGTTAATTTCAAGCTATTACTATTCTCACGACTTTTAATGCTAATGTCTTCATACTAACCATCAAATATTCTTTCGTCTAAATTGGTTGACTTTCTCATTCTTGTACATATATTTTCGTATTTATTCTTGCATATACACATTGTGCCTCGTTTCGTATTACGCTTTGTCCTCTCTATAAAGTTGGACCATACATTCATCAAGATTAATACCCCAAATTTTCTTTTTTTTGATCAAACCAAAATATCTTGCCGTATTTTCTTCAAGCGTAAAAGGGAGTTGTCTTTTTATGGTTCATTTACTCGCGCATACATATCTATACATACATACACATATCTGCAATTTTGTATTTTTATACTGCTGCGCGCGATAAACATAGGCAACTTGTATATATAACATATAACAATAACCATTTCAAAGGAAACGACAATCTTTCAACTAGGGAACAACGAACAATAAAATTATTCAAATCATTCACACGCACGCTAAAAACGTTTTACACACGTTTAGGAAAATGATGCCCATGAAAAATACCACGCATGCTGCAATTCTAGTAAGCGAGAACGAAGGTGGATCTCGAGAATTAGTTAACAATTCCAGTGCCAATAACGATAATAATCTACGAGTAGTAGTCGATGGAACCTCTACGACAACAGCAACAGCAACATCATCACCTTTATTAAATGCCATTGGCTCGAATTCTTCTTCGCCATTATTACCACCCGTGGTGCCGCCATCACCAAATTCAAAATTATCCAGAAATAGGCATATACCAGCAATTGATACTTCTTTAGGTCGTCATCATAACGAGGATGATTCACATCAATTTAATCAAAAAAATTCTCGTCGACGGCTCTCTTCTATGAATAATATTAACAATAATCATGAACAATCACTCGCTTCAGCATCATTTAGTCGTCGTTCTTCATCAATTATAAGTAACGATGATAACAATAACAATAGCGGTAGTTTAGGACCAAGAAAATCCTTATCATTACCATATCCCAAAAACAATCCAAAAGAGCGGTCAAATACTTTATCAAATGTTAAAGAATCGAAATCGCTCAATCGATCAAAATCACTACGTGAAGGAATTTACTCACGAGATTCCAACAATCATAATTTGACTGCTATGCGTAAAACTGAATCCGAAAATGGTGTTCAGTCTGTCTCGTCAAAACAATCATTACATCATTCACGTGCACATTCTTATACTCCAGATCAATCCCCAACGATAGGCACACCGGAGCCTCCATTACGTCCTTTGTCTTCTTCCTCTTCTGGATCATTAGAGCGTCGACTATCAATGTTGACCCAGTCATATTCAGACAATTCGCTAAGTCTCTCGATAACCGACGATAATCATTCGGATTGGGATGACTTTTTGTACGGTTATGCTCGAGGAAAATTTGATCCATTATCAATCCCGAGAAAACCGAGACGATCTAGTTCCAAAAAAAGCTATACAAGTAGTTTGGGATATCGAAGAGATCGAGAGAGGGGAAATAATAATACCAATAATGACAATAGTACCAATAATGACAATAGTACAAATAATGACAATAAATGGAGTCTACCAACTAGTCCACTATCAGAAGTCACTACATTTGGTGATGATTGGGATGTTGAGTATATCGAAGCTTGGAGAAGAGATGGCGCAAGAGACACATTAAATGCACCCGGGACACCTAATAATGGAATAGATATAGCAACAAATTACACAGGAAATACTTCTTCGTCTAGCGTTGTGAATATTGCTCATCAACACGAATTGAGTTTAACTGCAACCGAAGATTCTGCATCTATAAATCTAGAAACGCATATTGAAACGGATGGAGATTATGATGAAAATAATTACGAATATGGATATGATGGTAGTGTATATAATAATGACGATGATGAGTTTGAAGAGGAGGATGAGAATGAAGATGGTGAATTTGAAGTACATCTACATGATGTTGATGAAGCTGAAGGTGACGATGAGTTTGAACCAGAATATTTGCCACCTCCTTTACCCCCAAACGAAAGTGAACGTAGACGTGCTTTGTAAGTCTAATGATTTTCATTCAATCAATACTATTATTAAAGAATATTATTTTATTAATGAAGGTTATTTGTATAGATGGCGATTTCAGATCTTGAACACTTCACAGGATGTGAATTTTTCACGTATTGTCCGTCTAGTGAAACAGCACTTCAAAGTTCCGATTTCCCTGATATCCTTGGTAAATACAACACATCAATGGTTCAAAGCAGAGGAGGGTCTCGGCTGTAATTCCACCACTCGAGAAGTTTCTTTTTGTGGCCACGCGATCCTTCAAGAAACTGCCGAACCATTCGTTGTTCCGGACGCATTGATCGATTGGCGATTCAAAAAAAATCCCTTAGTAACTGGTCCTCCGTATATTCGATTTTACGCCGGGGCTCCGTTACGTACAAAAGATGGACATAACCTCGGTACTATCTGTTTGATTGATAATAATCGTCGTGAAGATTTTAGTGCCGATGATCGTAAAGTTCTCAAGGATTTTGCTAAAGTTGTGGTGCGCGAATTGGAATTATGGGCGGATCGATTAAGACTGAGAGTGAGAAATAAAATGCAAACGTCGATTGCAGAGTTTAGTAATTTCTGTTTGGAAGGCATGAAATCACAATTAGTAAACAAAGAAACTGGTGGAATATCACGAAAACGGGAAAGTGTGTGGTCAAAAAGTCCGGAGAAAGAACCACCTGAAAATGGAGACCAAGTGATGCAAAAATGTTTTGATATGGCAGTGAAACTTATGCGTGATACGTTAGAGGTGGATGCTCTTTATCTACTGGAAATGCCATCACTTTCATCAAAGCCAATCACGTCGACAGGTCGGCCTTCAACTTCAGATTTCTCCTCATTCTTTTTAAATAGTCCTCCACCTGAACCTGGAATCAAACATCTTAAATTCTTGGCATCCGTCGGAATTGAATTGTCAACTGATCTTCTGTCTACTCCGACGACGACGTCATTTTTGATACACTTGATGGAAACTCACGAACAAGGATACATTTTTCAAAATGCTTTGCCTCCATTGCCTGCTCTCTTCCCATTGCAAATGCAGTCGGGTATTGTTGTGCCAATTTACGATAATTCTCAGAATGCATTCGGATTCTTGATTGCATTGACCACCGATACATCTCGACAATTCGAAGACGAGGAACGCGTGTACATGGGAAATTTTGGAGTAAATGTTGTTAGTGAAGTGTTGAAACGTCGAGTTATTGTCGCTGATCGAGCTAAAGGGGTTTTCATTTCATCAATGTCTCATGAATTGAGAACTCCGTTACATGGAATATTGGCAAGTTGCGAATTATTGGAAGATTCAAAGATGACTGATGCCCAAAAAGAATTATTGAAAACTATTCAAGGATGTGGGACAAGTTTGATTAGTATCCTGAATTCAGTATTGGATTTCGCAAAATTGGAAAGTGAACAAAACGGATTAGATGGTTATCAGCATTCGATTTATAGTAATAATAATCGTCGTAATAAAACTGGAGGACGACATCATCACACAAGTAGTTTATCAACTATTGCATCTTCCGATGAATATTCGTCTTCGTCATCGAATATGAAATCTGGTGACGATGGTATAAATGATGTAATTAGCAATAGTGATGGTGCTCAGAATCATGACAATAATTCGAGGACTGCGTCATCGTCAGGGAGAAAACGCCATCGTATACTGCAAAAAGTTGATTTAGTCACTATAGCCGAAGAAGTATCCGAATCATGTTCAATTGGACAAGAGATGTTGTCGGCTGTCTATGGAGCATCATCCAACACTGTAAACGTTTTAAATTCACACACCTCTTCCAATTCAACGCAAGCGTCGTCATCATCACCATCATCACCATCACCATCAAAGGAAACATTGGAAAACTACACGGATTCGACAGCTACACAATTACGAAAACGTGTTTGTGATCTTTTGCATCCGTATCAATATGCACAGAAATCTGCACGTAGTGTTGGCGATAAAAATGATCCAGTAGCAGAACAGCGACATGTTGAATTGATGCTTGATATTGAACCAAGATCGGAAGGCTGGTGTGTAATGGCTGATGATGGAAGCGTTAGGCAAATTCTGATGAATGTGAGTATTTAATTTAGATGGCTGATGTGTGTATTATCGAAACAGTTTTAGGTATTAATAAATAGTTTTTTTGTTTCTTTTTATAGATTATTGGGTATGTTATGGTGAAATCTACGTTGATGTTGCTGTTACTATATAAATTTAGAGACTTACCTTTTTTTATCTAGAAATTCATTGAAATTCACAACAAGAGGATATGTGCATATTTCTTTAACCACAGTCCCAACATCCGAAGCAATCGTCATGCCAGAAATAAGCAAAGAAACCATTAATAATAATAATAATAATGATGATGATAATAATAGCACATTGTCAAAAAAGCCAAATCGAATATCTGTTCTATTTACAATAACCGATACAGGAAAAGGAATGTCACCACATTTTCTCACTACGCATTTATTCCAACCGTTTTCGCAAGAAGATTCATTGCAAGCTGGCACCGGACTGGGGCTCTCGATTGTGAAATTACTGGTTGAGAAAATGGGCGGGAGATTAGATGTCGAATCTGCATTGGGCGCGGGAACTCGTGTTCGCATTTGGTTGGATTTCGATTTGCCGCCATCAAATGGTAATGACGGTGATGCAGAAATTGACGATTATCTTCGTGACGGTAATAATAGCGACGAAGAATCAAAAATGGTGGATGACAATGATGAACACGAATCGTCAGAAATGGAAAAAAAGAGAATACTTCAAGAGTTCTCCCAGATGCAACTATGTATATACGGTGTTCGTGGGAAACTACATGAGGTCGTCGAAAAGTATTTTCGAAATTGGCATGGAATGAAACGAATTGTATTTGAGGAGCAAGCGGATCGAATGCGCGGTGATCTCTTAGTGATTAATGAGGATTTAGATGCCTTGAAAACTGTTTGGTTCTTGGAGCATCATAAACAACAGCAAGATAATAAGAGACTTTCATTATCAAATTTAGTTTCTCCATTATTGAATATTGCAGTGTCGTCGTCCACTACCATAAAGAATGCTCAACAAGAAGAAAATGAAGACTGGGATTACTCGCCGATAATTCTAGTCACGTCGATAGCAAAATATGCTAAAGCAGCTGATTTTGTTGACCTTTTGCAGCAACAAGCGAACGTTAGTAATTATCACCATCACCTTCAGCATCAACAAAACGTTAATCTCCATAACACGTCTGGACTCACATCAATGTTGAAACCAAGACGAACACGTAAAATCGTTGTGTTATCTGCACCGATTGGACCACGAAAAATGAAAAGAACAATTTTGGCGTGTTTTCGGAATAAAAATATTCCATCATCACCTTCTCTGCCTCCATCACCAGAACTTGGTAAAAAGATTGACAATAATGAATTAAAAGTTCCAGAATTTAATTCCCTGAATCAACTCCTTGGTGTCGAAGATACGCAACAAGTTAATTCTCCTCTTTTGTCACCTGATCACAGCAACGGTATCCAAATATCGGCAAAATCTCTTCCTAGAGTGGTTGTAATGACCCCGCCTAATGTTTCAAGTTCGAAGGATTTTTCTCTCTCATCTTCTTTATCGTCAAGTTCAAACAGTTCTTATGAACATTCAGACGAGAATTCAGACGAAAATTTAATATTCATGCCATCACCATTAATAACATCTCCAAATGCTCCATCACAGAATGAAAAAGACCCATTCTTCACAAATATTTCGGATGATAATCTGACGACCACGGAACCTGTATCTGATTTCAAAGTTGATTCATCTCAATCACCGTCGTCCTCTTCACGTGCCACTACCTATCCACTTCTTTCAATTCCTCTTCCTTCACCAGTAACCTTTCCATTCACCACAGATACAACCACACAACTTGCGTCTTCACTCAACTCGAGAAAATTCACCAACGCAACATTTACTACTTCATTCGATCGATCTTATTCATTACCAGCCTCACCAGTACCAGAAATCCATCAACAGTCGTTGATGATTGCTCCTACAATCGTGGGTCCAAAAGGTCCTCGAGTATTGGTAGTAGAGGATAATGCAATTAATCGAATGATTTTAGTCACTTTCTTGAAAAAACGTGGCGTTGGTTATGAAGAGGCTGAGAATGGCGCGATTGGAGTCGAAAAGTTTCGACGTAACTTGGAGTTTGATGAAGAGCAAATGAAACATGAGTATGATGAAAGGAACTGTGAGAGGCGTAGATTTGATGTAGTATTAATGGGTTAGTAATAATTTGATATTGTTGATTTTGCTGTAGTTTATTGTTTATTAAATTATCGCTCTTCACAATCAATATTCTATATAAACGCAGATATTCAAATGCCGGTGATGGATGGCAATAAAGCAACTGCTGAAATCCGTAAATTAGAAAAAGAATACGCCGCCGAAAAGCGTAACATACAGAACCAAGAATCCGACAATGAACATCTTCAACCACATCCTTCCGATGGTGGTAACAACGGTAGCTTTAAACTTGGTAGAGATCTGCCGAATAGTTTATCAACCTCTCCATTAATTTCACTATTATCGCCATTACTAAACACAGCTGCGAATAGAAATCTGGGATCGTCTTCATCAGCATCTGATACCTCAATAATTGACATAAATTTAGAAACGTCATTCTGTGATTCTCAATCAACTACAACCAACAACTTTGCAACAAAACCTCAATCACTTTTCACAACTTCATCGTCGTCATTATTACAAAATCGTGCACTGATATTCGCACTAACTGGATTGGCTAGTGAAGAAGATAAAGATTTGGCATTTGAAAGTGGAGTTGATGGATTTTTAACGAAACCAATTAGTCTGAAAGTCTTGGATCGTGTATTAAAACGATGGTTTGAACGAGGTGATGGGACAGCCACGAGCAATGCCACTAATACTAATAATATTAATACTACGAGCACTGGTACGAGTGCTAGTAGTGTCAAAGGAAATAATAATAATAATAAAGTAGCAGCATCGGATCGTAAAGTTGATGGGCTAGAAGAAAATGGCTTAATAAATAATAAATCCTCTAACTCAATATCAAACCCACTTCCGCAATCATCATCAACCTCCGATGCTGGACTCTGTAATATGGTCGGGTGAGTTTCTATTCACAGGCCATTTTATTTAGCGATATTTATCGCAATCACAAACAATATCCCTGCAATTTATTATATTATTTATTCTTGCATTCTATTCATATGATCAAATACATAATGCATATATATATATATACATTTTTTGTAACAAACTTACCATTCTCATTAATTCAATTATTAAATAAACACAATATTCGATTTATTATTATCTATTCTCTAATTTCGATAATTAATACTATTTTTCTTCTCTTATTCTTATTAAAATACAATATAATTTTAGATACCTCCTCCTCCTTTACATTCTGTATTTTTGTATAATAATTTTTGCAAGACGATACGCACATCATCATTATCACTCAACTCTCAAGAGTAGAGAATTTACATCAACTATCCACTTCACGTTATTTAAATCATTTTAATCGAATAATAAATTTGATTTTATTTATTTTAGAAATAAAATGAATTATAAAACACAAGCATGATGACTTCGAAATTTAATCTAAAAACAATATCTTTATAGAATCCAAAATTTGAGCGAACAGGGAAGAAAAAAAATGTCTGACATGAGATCGCGATTTAACTCCCTAAATTCGGATCTTACAATTACGTAATCAAGAATTTGTGCTATATTAATTTCGTTATCCTAAGTCTGAAATGAGATTGATCGAGAGAAACTTTGGAAAAGTCTTTCACAATAATCCTTTACTGATGTGTATGTTCTAATAGACAGTATTCTCCAAAATGTGCATTCCAGTTATTTTTATTAATACTAATGGATATCGATATATTTATTAACGTTAAGAATCCTCGCTATGTAGTGATACGGGTTAAAGTATTTAGCACCAAATGATCTGCAAAAAATTTCTAAATTAGGATTTAGGACATTTACATTATCGCTATGGACAGTTAGGTATGTATGTGTAGTTTGCTACAATATACATGTATTATAGAAATGTCCAGTTATTCTAGATACATAATAAGCATTTCTTTTAAGAAATAACATACAAATCAAAAAGAGCCTATTAATTACTAATCTTCTTTAAACTTTCGAAACTTTATCCTCCTAATTTTAATCTTATCTTCGTCGACCCATACCTCACCAGTTTCGATAGCTTTCCTATAGGCCGACGGATGATCAAAAGTGATGAATCCACTTTTCTAAAGATTGAAACTTTAATTTTAGATGCATCGAGAAAATTTTGGTATTTTACGAATTTACTGTAATTATCTTACTTGAGCACTAGCGCTAGGTGACCGATTTTTGAGAATAGTAAAATATTTCACGCGACCAAACAAAAGTTCAAACTTGTGGATTAATTGCTCTAAATTTACTTTAAAGGAAAAATGTATAATAGCTCTACGTGGAGCGGATTCATTGTTTACCGATTTAAAAACTATCGCTATAATCTAGTTAGTGAATGTCAAAGGTTTCATAACATAAAAACGAAGTTACATTTACCTTTTCCATCGCTCTCAACTTTATCTGGAATTTTTTGATCAGAAGACACATTCCATTCATCTCTTTTATCATTGCCCTGCTTTACATAATCAGAACTCAGGCTCCATTCATCTTTAGTAGATTCTTCATTCGATATTTGTTGCTTTGAAAGATGCTCGTTAACTTCTTCCCTCATTTTTTGAGCCTCGGAAAGTGTTTCTGCTAGTTCTTTCTCAAGCGAAGCAATAAGCTTGTCGTTATAATCAAGTTGAATTTTAGAACGGGAATTTTTTGAGATGAGATCTTTGCAGTGAATACAATAACCTTTTTGAGAATCCATTTATGGAATAAAAATACTTTTTAAAAAGAGAAATCATGAAAAGGCTGTAAATAAGAATTTCTTATTTTTAAAGCTTGTTTGAATCAGGACTCAATTTAGCGATGACTAATTAAAACCTTGATTTAACAAAGATGGATTTTGCCCACAATACATACAGTTCAGTCCATACGTACGTATATCGATCGTTAAATCACAATGAATGGGAATAAAAATCACGAAATCGATATACTGTATCGTTAGATTGATGTTAGAAATCGCCAATAATAAACTTGATTTATTATTTAACAATTTCATTTAAGTATTGAAAATATATTTTGATATAAATGATAATTATATAAATTTATTTAAATCTCAGTGAAATTAATCATGGTCAACCACGATATATAACAACAAACGCTTGTCTTGAATAATACAATTTTATGTTTCAGATATCCAAATACCGCAATTAGGCTGTGTTGATAATACCAAATACAGGTCTGATGGATTGGATCGGTCCGCTATAGTTAACACTTGCACAGCTATCAAGTAAAGCCCATGAAATATCCCACGGGTGCCATTGACATCTCACAATTCCTACACCTAAAAAACTTTTCCTCCCTTCCAACTTATTATTGACTCACCCACATCAGCTGCACGTCTTGCTCGGTGTAGGCCTCTGACACCAAGGACACTTGCTTTCCAAATTCCTCTGCTTTGGACACCAACCTCTCACATTGCCTACGTCATCATCTTGCGCACCGTGCTGCTGTTGATCTTTCCATCCCACTATCGAATTTGGGAGTAATGATGATGTCAAATTTCTGGACAAGTCTTCGTCCACGAGGTTACGAATACGACAGCGCATTCGTGCCTAGGCACTTCGTCGCATAAAGTCATGTTTTCGAGCAGGAGCTTGTGCCATACGAGAGATTAGGTCATCAAGGACAAGACAAGGCAAAGACGGACGAACTTCTGGACGTCTTAGGTACCTACATTCCGTGGCCATAGCTGGGCAAATATTACGTTCGAAATTTCCGGACACCCGGGCCTAGCGAACAAGCATTGATGCTTGTAGAGCCAAACGAATGTTTATTGTCGAAGTTTCCGGTCTCATGTTATCGCACTCTCCAGATTTGATCAGTTGTGGTTCTGTCTATGTGTTCGTGGTGAAGAGGAGGGTGCTTTCGGGCATTTTTCGGTGTGAACAGTGTTGAGGATCAGGTGAGTCAGCAAAGTTCATAACACAGGTATGGAGAAGGCGGTACTGTTTTCGCGTGTGAAAGGAAAAAGATGTCGGGTGGGTTGTCCTTGTTGCTGCGTTTTGTGGTTCTAGCTCACGAGATCTGATTCTTGGGTTTTTAATAAGGAAATTAAACTGGTTCCAAATTCTAGATTGTATTGCCTCCTTGATGGCCTCATCAAGGATTTTGCGAGCATGGTCTTCATAAAGGCCCATGTTCCATTATCAATACATTCACGTCGTAGGTTCCGAAAATAAGAAAGTTTCGCAACGTGATTCCCAGTGAAATATGCATCTATGACCATGTTGTAAACAAGTCTGCAGTGAATGAATGAATAAAATATATCAATATTTGTTGGTATTCTAATAAGGCGTAGATAATAACATATTTTTATGTTTCGCATTATCCATTGGTTGCGACTCTAATAGTATTATTAGAATCGCTAATGAGAAACATAATATATGCCTAAGTATATATAAAATAATATATTCTTCCAACATTACCTAGCAAACCTAACCAATTTTCAAGGTCTTTTTCCGGTTGATTAGACACTTCTTTCTTGCAAAATTTGAACTTGCTCTGAACTTTCTTGTCCTAGCTGTTATTGCTGTCTCTTCGTCGCCGTCAGTTCTCTGCTGCTTTTCGATCCCGCAGACGATGACGATATTACTCTTGCTGTCGTAGAATTGACGGAATCGGTCGCAGTGGGCAATCACTACCTCTGTGACCAGTTTTCAATCTGAGAGCTCCAGTAAGGTGTCGAAAGGTCGGCGGCCATTAGTGTTTTTTACCCATAGATAATAAAGTTTTCAATTAGAATATGAAAAAAGCGACTGGTTTAACGATTGGTCAATAATTTAGTGGCGCCCGTAAAACCAGTGTGATACATGTATTAAAAAAACATGCCGGATGTGTATTATCGTTATGAATAATGTAACCAAAAAAAACAGACCCGGTTGTGGTGCAACTGATTGTGCTAAACAAGTTCCAACCTCTAGAATCAGAATAAGCAAAATATGTTACTTGTTACGTAATCTGTTCCATTACCAAGTACACTGATTACAAAATCTTTTACCATTTCTTTTACACATTATAATATTGCAATTCTTGTATCAATATTTACTTACTTTGGATTGGTGGCATTAATATCCGAATCTTATCTGTACGTATACAGTACATGTAGAATAAAGATATGGTGAAATCGGATTCAATGGGAAATTTATGGTGCATTAATCTATTAAAGTCACATAATACCGATACGACAAGTTTTAAAAATACAAACACTTGAACTTAATGAATTCACAAACATTCTCATTATTCAAATTGGAAAGTATTGTTCGGATGACTTGATAACGATTACTGAAATTGTACAAGGTTTACTATATGTATTTACGCGACATAAAAATCGATTGATTTCGCACACAGAATATAAAGATATTAAACAACACCAACAGATGAAGAAAAAGATTTTATTTAGGTCTCTTGAAATTATATAACGACACAACTTGCAAATACCGTGATTCCCAAATAATAAAGTTGATCTATAAACACATCTCGAATAGCCAAAAAACGGAAACGGAAACTTTTCAATTGCTTTTGCTCATATTGCGTCATCATCCACAACAATAGCAAAAAAGATGCTCTTCAAGCAAGTCTACTCAGATTTTACTATCAATACGGAATGGGAACATCAAATTGATATGAAAATGCATTTGAACACTACAAAATTGCTGCAGAATTAGGTGACGGATTCATTCATTAACGCGAGTAGGAATGTGCTTTCGTAACTTTTATGGAACCTCCTATAACTACGATAAATCCATAGAGAACTATGGAAAATCAGCAAAAGCTGGACATTCACAGAGCATGTTTCAATATGCTGGATATCGTAACGGTAAAACGCAAGCATTTTGAAATCTAAAAGCATCTGAAAAAGGATTCCTGGATGCTATAAGATTTACATCATGCTCATATACATGAAATTATCGTTATATATACATGTACTAAGCGCTGATCAGTTTAGGAATCTATATCGATATAAAATGTGATTTGTTTTCACTTTTACTTCACTATTCAGAAAATATAATAAATGACGATACTATCATTTGAAAGCTGAAAATTTATTTTACAAGTTCATTTAAACAATAAAAATTAGATACACTATATTATTTGTTCACATAAGCACCAAAAAGCATTCGAAAAATACAGCATTGCCTCGCACCTCTAAGTTTGCCGCAGCCCGACAAAACAAATCTGACACAAGAAAATGAAAATGTGAAAACGTGCTTAAATCTAGCTTGGTACACTGATAAAAAAAATGTTAGGGAAGCAATTTGACATATGGCCCTAACCCCGATCCTGACCCTAACCTTAAAATCAACTTTTAACATTAATTAAAATTTTTCCGGGTGCAGACAACCTAACACAGATTTTAGGTGTGCCATTATCTCAATGCACGTTTTTTGTTTTATGCTGATTTAGCGTCACTTACGAGGCTATTATGCCTTCGCCAGTGGTGCGGAGGTTAAGAAATGAGCTGGTATTTTCACGTAGCATAGAGTAACGCCAAATCATTCTTTTACTTCTGCTCAGGCGAAGTATTTAGTTAAATGATTTTTTATTGCTTCATTGTGAAAATCAGAATGGAGAGAAACTCAATCCCCCACCCCATAGCAGTTTATCTTTGATCTTTCTTTTGATAATTCTTCATAGTGTTCCTAATTAAGTCTACACCACGGACTAGAAATAATAGAAAGTTGGCTAATTAAACATGTACTGTATACGTAATCCATATCGATATGCGATAAACACAGAACGTTCGTATACATGTGACAATACCGTAATGTCGTGACACACATAATATTCAAGTAATACAATTTCTCACATCTAACCATTGTTATCTAATCCGATACTTCAGTCATTTACTTAGTGTATGCACACAAAACTAACTAGCCATAGATTTATGCAGTATATGCATTAGAAAACAGCCATACTACATAAAAAGTCCTTTATTAAATTTTTGAACCCTATTTTTAAAGGTTACACGAGAAAATGACACAAATCTGCTGCAAATGTCTAGGATCACATTTGACCCAACCATGGCTCATGACCCGCTTTATGATCCGGAACGCTTTCAACCCTTAACTAAACCACCACCAATCAAAGTTCCACGAACTTGCGAAAGATGTTCCGGAGACTATATCGATATGTGTTGTTTTGCGTGTGAGAAGAAAGAGTTGCCAAAGATGTGGACAAGTGGAAATGTGATTGTTGATAATTTTATAAAGGAAATTCAATCAAAAGCGAATAATCAGCAGTCTTATTTGCAATGGTTGAGATATGAGTCGTTTAGCGAGATCAAAGATATGGGCAAGATTGGGAAGAAGAATATTTATTCAGCGATTTGGTTGGAAGGACCAATCACTAGACAACCTACTCCTTGGGCAGTACAGAATAACTGTAAGGTGATTCTTAAAGAGATAGAACGAGAAGAGATAAATTTGGTTTCATTCCTTGATGAGGTATTTTATCAATAACTGATTCATTGATGTGATATTTCATGTCTAGACTAATATTTAAACATTACAAAAGGTTCGTGCACATCATCAATTTCGCGGAATACACGAAAGTCGTGTGCTACGTTGTTTTGGAATTTCGAGAAATCCCTCAACGAATGCTTGGGTAATGGTCATGGAATATTTCTCAGATGGTGAACTTGGACATTGTCTTCGAGAAAAGTATTCGCAATTGAATTGGGATCATAAAATCTCAATACTGGAGGACATTTCCAATGGACTTGCGAAAATTCATGAATCTCAATCTGCACTTAAAGATTTTCATGGCGGAAATATTTTAATAAACTCACTGGAAGGTCGAGCAGTGATTGCTGACATGACTTTATCGTTTTCTGATGGAAGCTACCCTAGATCAAGATTGACAGGAGTTTTACCTTACATTGCTCCAGAAGTATTGGAACGTCAACCAATTACACGCGCAGCAAATATATATTCTTTTGGAATAATGATGTGGGAATTGGCGACAGGCGAACGAGCATTCGCTAATCGAGCACATGACGATACTTTGGCTATAGAAATATATCGCAAAGATCGACCTCGTATTAGCAATAACATTCCGGAATGTTTTGCAGTACTTATTCAACAATGTTGGCATTCAGATCCTTGCAGACGACCGACGGCTAAAGAAGTTGCTCAAAAACTTCAAATATGGGGTCAAAAATTATGGAGACAAAGTTTTACCGATATTACCTCGATTAGTTATGCTTACAGTGACGATTCAGAAATTGATGCGTTCCGTGCGGCTGATTTACCACAACCTCATGTATTACACTCGTATGTATCGATTACTTATTTTTTTTGAATAATTTCTATTCTTGTTTTTAAATTCGAAATATTATGCTTCATAAGATATTCGGAATTAAAAGCCGGTTCTGAGCATCCAGATGCAATATACACCACACGAGATTTTGACTATCCTCCGCTTGAAAAAGTCACGTGTGAATATGAAAGCGAAGATGGTAAAAAATTTTTACAGTTGCAAATTTTTTTTAGTTTAGCACTTATTGATTTGAGCAATTTGTATATTTGCAGAATCTTTTCCAACGAATTTCGGTCAATTATGGAATGAAAGCGAAGACGAACATGGCTCAAAATTAAAACGATCCAACACTTTTCTTCAGCTGAAACAAACCAGTGAGCGAAGAGCAATGGCGAAATTCGCTCGTCAATTACAAGCGCATAATTTCCAATTTCCACAAGGCTGGACAAGTGGAAACAACATACTTGATGACTTTATTCGGGAGACACAAATGAATGCTATTGATTACACGAGTTTTCTGGAATGGATTCCATACGAGAACTTTGTTGTGAATAAACAAATTGGACGAGGAGGTTTTTCAACGGTTTATCTGGCCACGTGGTCAGAAGGCCCGACACCGCTTCGGGAAACAGATTTAGAACCGCTAATTGATCACAAAGTTGTCTTAAAGCATCTTGACAATTCTTATCATCTCTCGTTGGAATTTATAAACGAGGTAGGGATTTACTTTTTTGAGAGAATTTTTAAAACACTAAAAATTAAAATCTTGAAATTTTGAAATTTTTTAAAAGTTAAAAGCTTATTATTATACATGTGCCAAAGTTACTGGAATTCCTCTCGCACATTGCTACGGTTTCTCGCAAGACCCAAAGACAGGAAATTACGTCATCGTATATGAATATGTACCCGATGGCGACCTCGGTCATTGTCTAAAAACACAATTTTCAAATTGGACATGGTGGCATAAACTCAAAATTCTTAACGGAATCACCATAGCTCTTCACGCAATCCACAAATCCGGACTCGCTCACAAATGTTTACATTTAGGCAATGTCCTTGTGAATGGCACGAGGGCGTCTCTCGTAGACATGGGACTAAATCGACCGGCTGATAAATACAATACCAAAGAGGTGTATGGCGTGCTTCCTTTTATTGCCCCGGAAGTCTTAAGCGGACGACCTTATACACCGGCGGCAGATGTCTATAGTTTCGCCATGATAATGTGGTCGTTGACAACTGGCGAACGTCCGTATAAATCTAAAGAATACAATGAAGATCTAGCGATTGCTGTATGCCATGGACTTCGACCCACCATTATCGACGGCACGCCACATTGCTACTCGGCAATTATGAAAAAATGTTGGGATCCTGATCCGAATAAACGACCCGATTCGAAATATTTGAAACAAATGTTTTATTATTGGGAAGAAAATATGCGTATGCACGAAATCCTTGATTCCACAGATTACGTTGGCGAAGATGTGGAAAAAATGAAACGGCATCTATTTCAATTTCTACAATCGGATGACCGAATGTATTCCCCTGACGGATACAATAAAAACAATATAGTCTCGGAAAATCCTCTGGGTATATACACAAGTCGTAAACTGGACTTTGTCATGCGTCGAAAGTCTTCGCGTGCTGAACCTGAATCAAGTCGATCGATTAATACACGTTCAATTTCGACTCTCGTATCTTCCGAACCACAACGGCGTAAATATTCGGAGATTATAAATGAGCATGGATCAAGTAAATTTTTTCCCGAAATTTATTGGATTGCTTTTTTTGTATTGCTATTTATAATGATGTGGTTAAGAAATATGTTATTGTTATTAGATAATGCGCCAACTCAAACCGAAAATAAAAGAATTTCACGGATAACTGGCAAGTATATAATAAATCTCTTTGCGAACTATATACTCGTAATATGTTAAAAGCTCACTTTTATTTTTTTATTTAGTTGTCGATTATGATCAAGATAACTATATGAATGGAAATTTATTAACGATCATTACGGAAACAGGAAAACAAATCGAACGAATATCAGATAGTAAGGATTCTCTCTTTTATATTTCTATTATGCTGCTGTTAATTCTCACATTTGTAATTTTATCCGTTATGTGAATAGTTTTCCGAACTCATGGATATGCCAATGATTTCAATTCATATGGTAAAAATTACGGTAATAATTTTGAATGTAATTATTTTGGATCTTATTCGAAACAACAGAATACTTATATATAATAATTTTTAGACGAAGAATCCGATTCCAATCCTGTTGAATCAACATCTCTGCAAGATGACTTTAAGCTTGTTGTCGATGGTAAGCACGTTGTTTTTTTAAGTTAAAATTCCAGCGAATTAGAAATGTGCTGAAAAAATAACAATGTTGGAAATACAGATGTAGACCCCGATTATACTGCCATACCACCGCAAACACACGGTTGTCGACCAAGAAGTGCTTCAAATTTAGAGAATGCTCAAAAGTCTGGAGGATTAGGTCATTTTCGACCTCGTAGTGTGTCAGGTGTGTCTGCTCAGACGCCATATTATTATATTAATGCACTCCATGAAAAATATACTAATTATGCTATAAATAAATATTCGTTGTAGACTCCTCAAAAACCAGTGCACCCCCAACACCAATAGGAATAACTTTTATACAAAATAAACCACACAGCAACAAACAAGATGAAGGTAAATTATTATTAAGTGATTCATTGAATTTATATCATTTTTTTACACGATTAACTTCGTATTTGCGTTTAGGATATCATACAAATTCCGCCACTCCAGCAAACAGCTATGAGGAAAAGAGTCAGATAACGAAATCTTCTTCGCACTATTCGATGAAGAATGATACTTCTTTTCTTCCGTGGAATCAGCCTCCGTCAACAACAGATACGAAGCATGATACTTCTCTTCCGTGGAATCAGCCTCCGTCAACAACAGCATCTTCTTCGTACTATTCAACTAATAAAGAGATGAAGAATGATACTACATCTTTTCCGTGGAACCAACCTCCATCAACAACAGTATCTTCTTCGTACTATTCAACCAATACAGAGATGAAGAATGATACGTCTCTTCCGTGGAATCAGCCTTCGTCGACAACAATATCTTCTTTGTACTATTCAACCAATACAGAGATGAAAAACGATACTGCGTTGATTCATCCCCCGTCAACAATAGTATCTTCGTATTATCCAACCAACACAGAAATGAAGAATGATACTTCATCTCTTTCATCGATTCAGCCCCCGTCAACAGATATGAAGAATGATACTTCTCCAACTGGTAAATAAGTAGTTTTATGATGGAATTGTACTGGTGAAATGTCATCTTATAATTGTTTATTTTTTATAAAAGCTGCTTCTATAGCAAGACGAGGCGAATTCTCGCGGTCGCTTTCGGATGCATTGAGCGTTCACGGAAATGGTAGTTCGATCTTTGTTGTTTCTGTTGATATTTAGTTTTGTTTCTTCTCTTTTGCTAACTTTATTTCACAATTAATAATATTTCGATAATTGAGAAGCTGCAGGTGAATTATCGATTATTATTTGGATTTATATGTTTGAATTTGTAACTTTTTTATTAATATTGCTCTTTTTTTGCAAAGTGGTTGAATATAGACGGAAAAAATTATTTGGCACTTGTGCGACTTGTAGTCGACCAAATATCGATATTGGATTTTGTCATGATTGTCGACTCCTCGATGATCTAAAGTTATTTGAAGATGATGACGATGATGATGAGTATGAGTATGAATAAGAGTAACGGTAACAAAATTTCATTAAAAAAAGAAATAGAAAGAAAACATTATTTTGTAGATTTCTTTGTTTCTATTATTTGTTTCAATATTATTTCACATGTGTATAAATATATATATATAACGATCAGAATTTGCCATTAGCTATACGTTGTAAAATAAAAACTGTATCTTTTTTTATGTTAAAATTAAAGATTTACTGGACAAAAATTCGTCTTATTTTTCTGTGAAAAGAATTTCAAGATAGAAATGAAATTGTAAAATTTCTTGTGATTAAACAATGAAGCTGCAATCATTAAAAAGGTTTGCATCACTTAACGTTAAACAAAAAATAATTTAGAGAAGTGTTTTATTTCCCCCATCTGACATATAAAATATTACAGTGATATATATTATTTATATTATATAACCTGGTATTTCTGGCTCCCTCTCTCGATCAATAAAAGACACTTTCCTTATAATCGAAAATAATCATATATTTCTTCTATCTACGTATATAAAAATTTGCCTATTAATACAGCCTTCATTCCAATAAAATTACAAATATATATATACCTGTTTTCAAGAAAGATTTCTTTTCACTATATTGATTTGTATGAAAATTCTACATGATTTATATATAGATAGTAACATAAAAATAAATTATATTTAAAAATTAGAAAAAACCCATAACGATAATAAAATTCAGCAATGACAATATTATGATTTAATATTGGTAACATTGTACGTATGCGTTTTTGCAAAAAGTATGTTGGTACACATGAGAGACGTGTCATTTATCACCTGATTTTTACCATGGACCATACCGATACTAATTAAATTACGTACGTGATAAATGACACACCCCTAACGATAAAAAATTTGAATTGTTAGAACAATAAATATTCTTCGATTTGATAATCAGAATAAGTATAAATTTTCTGATATCTGTGTAAAGTATAACGATAAAAACAAATAAAGTTAATTCTAAGATGATGCCTTGTACATGTATAAAAAGAATTAATTGCTTCGAGTCAATGTTCTCTAGATAATAAAGGACAGATACTTTCGCAGAAAATATCGAAATCTTCATTTAAAAATTTTCTCATAACTCAATTTCTTCAACCGTGAAAATCGACCTTGCATCATCCGTCGAGGAATGTTCTCGACTTCTACTACGAGCAACAATATCTCTCGATGAATTATTTGTTCCAGGTACACATAAAGATTTTCGATTCGAGGGAACTTTGGTGTTTTTCGAAGAGTCCTGAAACGAGGAGGAAGAAGTATTTAGTGTGGCTGTGCCTATGTTTATAGAGCTGTCACTTGAATTTGCTGGATTATCGGGACGTATCCGGGGAGTAAAGTATCCGTGCTGTCGAAGATATACGATCGCATTAAAGAATCCGCCAAGATGTACAAAGAGAACCATCATGGTGTTGCTGATTATGTTGTTGCAACCGTTGAATATTAGTATGTATGCTAGTACTCCGGGTCCCCTAATTACATACAATAAATTAATAAGTTTAACGAAAAAAAAACATGACGTGAACACGTATATCTCTAAAAGTACACCAACCATTGACAAACAAAAACTAGAATATAACTAAACATTTTTCCAATCGCTTCATCTTCCCACCCAAAAGAATGATCATGTGGCATAGCCATCATATTCGACGGACCACCATTATTATTACCCCGAAGAGTGGTGACACTATTCTTTCTATTATTCATCGCTTGATAAAATTCAGAAAATCTTTTGTTATTAGAATCAGCCATTGAATTTTGACCCACGTCTGTCATCGAGTACGCGGAACATCGATCTTGGAATTCAATTGGATTCGTCGGAATTGTATTGCTACGCATTGATTGTAATTTTGCAAATGATGCTCGGATCTTCGTGATTACTTTAATGTAACAATATGCTGTGACAAATGTACATGCAATGACGATCCCACTCAACGCCAACATATTTATACGCCCTGATAACGAAGCAACATTAATTTGACACCTAAATATCACTCAATTAATTTAGTATGCATATTAGAGTTGCGATAAAATCATAACTACTGTACGTATATTACCAATAAGTACTCGTTCCATATGCATCACTCAATATACCAGCACCAATAATGAGACAAGGAGCAGTTAAACACACGAAATGGAATTTCCAATCAAATCGTCCAAATTCCACTTGTCTTTCTCGATACACTTTAATATATGCAGTGATTGCGGTACACGTGACCAGCATTATGTTCCAGGCAATCGCAAAATTCAGGAAGCCACCTTGGAATTTACACACGAGTTTCGTGGGAAAATTTTGTGTTGATATAATTTCGATCCATTCGGAAATCATGTTCAAATTAAAAAATGTATCTTGTATTGCGAGATAAAAAGGAAATCTAGAGAAATTTACCAAATATTTTATTAATAGAATGAAATTTGATATTTTACGAGAGATTATCCTTTGTAATCGTTACCTGTGGTTCCAAGAATCGTACCAATCAGGCCTGCTAAGAATTCGATACATCATATATAAATTAGAGCATTGCGAAATTGATGCAGCACTTAATCCGGATATTGTCACCATATAGAATTGAGCATAATCTTGCCCGCGTACCGCTGATTCGCGATATTGATTGCCTTGATCATATAAAGCTGTAGGTGCACCCGTTACGAGGTCATTTTTTAATTTTTGACCATTTGAATCCAAAACTTCAGTGCTGGACAATATAGGGTCTTTAGCATTCAAAGATGAATTGGAAATTCCAGAGTTTCCAGATTCAGTTGTGTTGGAAAATTCAGAGTCTTTAGCATTCAAAGATGAATTGGAAATTCCAGCGTTTCCAGATTCAATTGAATCATTTTTACCAATTGGGTTGTGTTTTTTTTTTGTACCAGCATTACTGTTAATATTATTGCTATTTGTGTTATTATTAGAAACTAAATGTAAAGCTCGACTCTCTTTGTTATTAATCCCAGATATTGTTATTATGGGAGTATTCGATAAAGTATCTTGAGCTGTTGGGAATGCCAACGAAGAAGAAACTAAGGCCAGGATGGGAATTAAAAAAACTCCTAATATAAATACAATTCTGGGCATATTATTATAAACTTTGGTCGATGCGGTTTCAGTATCATTCATTGTATTGTATCTTTCAAGTCCTTCAACTGTTTTAAGAAAAGAAAGTGAACGAGAACGAGAAGAAAACTTTCAACGAATTGGAGAATATTTAAATTTTATTATGCGACAATACCTTTTATTTAATTATCGTTACGCATATTAAATTTTTAATATTATGTTTCTGCAAGCGAATGTACATGTATTTGATCAATAAGTGTATGCATGGAAGACATCATCGCTCATTTAAACATTACTATCCTAGACCGTTGTCGTTATTGTTATAGGTTTTTGAATTCGCCCTTGCACTGTTGAGCGAATTTTAATTGGTCGATATCCTTTTTTGTATTTTATCCAGCAAAAACTGATTCATGCAGTTTTTCAAGGTTCTTGAAAAATCAAACTTCTTCGATAATTGAACAAATAAAATGGACTGATACACAAGGAAAAATCCTCGTGTTATTTGCTCAAATTCGACAACCTAGCACCTTTTCTGTGTCTAAAAAAAATTGTATCATCTGACAAATTTCAAGACGAAAAATAATAAATCTCGAATTTCATCTTTCACATTAGCGTTAGGCAAACTTATTCCAACTATGATTCACACGTGACTTTTTTATTGAAAAAACCAACCATTATATTAAAATAATAAAAATTTCCCTAGATATTTTTGACATCGTGATAAGAAGAATCGATTTATAGAATGGTACTGCGAAGAAAATTCCCTCAAAGCACGTATTTGCATTCGGTAATCAAACTTGATAAGATTCCTGGCGGAATTTTTGCTCGTAATCCAACAGTGCCAACAAATCGACAGATCGATTCTCTTAATAGATCGCACAATGACAAAGTCTGGTTCGAAAATCTTTGTTAAATAGCAATGTTTATTATTTCCTATTTTACTCATACATGTATTCTCAATACGTAAATACTGCCTATTCAACTGGATACGAAAAATCAATAATAGCTTTCGAAAAACCAATTTCATGTTATATACGAAAAAATCAAACACTTTCCTTCGTCAATAATCTTCACAATGAAGAGGATTCTTAACCTTGGAGAAATACACGCGTATCCCCTCGATGTGAACCGTATCAGTATCTATTGCATTGAAATATGAATTCGGCGACTCGAATGTTATGAATCCACTTTTCTATTTAATATTTTTTTGATATTATTATGCATATTTTCAATCAATAGGAAATCAAGATGTCCAAATAAGATCGGAACAACCACTTACTTGAGTTGAGAGTATATTCAATTTTTCAACTGGGCCAAAGTATTCCTCGACTCCGTGTTTGAGTATACGTCGATCAATAACTTGCTCCATTCCAAAGAAAACTCGACGAGGTAACATATCTTCGCATTAGAAAATATGATTATAAGTAAGCGTTATTTGATGACATTTAAACAATTACTGTACAAACGAAATCAACCAACACCTTTTACACGATCGCTGACGTTACTTATCGTCATATTCTCAATTTTTTCTCGCACAAAATTTGCTTCATCGAACACTTTTTTTGTTTCTTTGCGAGTTTGTTGTATTTCGAGTTCGAGTTCTTGTATTTTTTGGTCTTGTAATTTGATAATATAATCTTTGGATCTATGAAGATCCTTCAAGTCTTTGCCCCAACCACAAGTACAAAATTCGGCCATTATCGTTATCGTTATTGTTATTTGTTATTTGGTGAAGATAAACAAAAATGTGTGCTTTTATCATTATCGTTATGATCACATTTCATGAAGATAAGCCTGATCGTGGGCCGATCATTCAAGTACGTAACACAAAATTTTATATCGATATCAATATTAATATGCTTATCAAACATTTAATTATAAATATGGTGGTGCGAACACTACGTACGTAATAACAAAGGATTCTTTATAATGTATGAACTTTAAATGTAAATAAATACGTCATTTAATGGCTTTTGATAAGTATGGTTTATAAAATGTATTAACTTTTCAGCTAAGAATTAAATACAAAATTTAATCCGTGAATATGATAGAATAGTCCCTTTCTGAGCATATTCGCGGATTAAATTTTGTATTTGCTTCTTAGTTGAGAAGTTTATACATTTTATAAAATGCAAAAGTTTGATGACTTTAGATGTTATGCATCATACTATCAAAGCAACGTATTTTATTTTAAAGTAAAAATTATACGTAACGGTAATTCATATTCAATTTATAAGTAATGATCTGCGACTAAGTACGAACATTGTTGAAATAGATATTTTATTACAATATAAATACACGCCCTATAATAATTATCTGAAATCCAAAAAAAGCATAGTAAAGCATAGTAAAACATAGTAAAAATTGAAATTTTTATTTTTATATCAAAATAAAGCTAAGAATTTGTATTTCAACAAATATTTTTGATAGATTTTATTTCAAGAATTTAAATTTAAATTTTAATTATAGAAAGTTTGTGTAATCAAATTTAAATCAGAAATATTCTTGAAATTAATTTTAAAAATCTATCTTAAAATACAAATTCTTAAATTTATTTTGATATAAAAATAAAAATATCAATTTTTACTATTGTTGTGATATGATTTTTAAACATATCACATGATTTATTATATTTTATTTTAATTGGATATTTAATTTACATGTGATTTATAGATCACTTCCTTTTTAAGTTCATACTATTCATTCTATATTTCATACTATTTCATATTATTTTAGTTATATTTCATTTTATTTCATTTATATTTCATACTATTTGATTATATGTCATACTAATTGTATTTGATTTATATTATATTTATATTATTATTATTATTATTATTAGTATGAAAAATACATGTTAATTGATTTACATGACCTAATTTGATTGATATTAATAATATAATATATATAATATCAAAGTAAGTGATATATAATCATCAAGCAAGTGAGCATTTTTTGTAATTATAATATTTAATTAGATATAGTTTTAGATTTTGATGATAATTTTTATCATTTATACTTTTAATATTTTTTTAAATAGTTTTTTATATAATCTTTTATCTTAATTGCAAAATTATTATTGTTATTTAATTTATAATCTTTTATTTATATTATGAAGTTATCTTTTTTATAATAATTATATTTGATCTCTTGTCTGTATTATGAAGTTAATAATAATATTGTTACACATTTTTCACTGATAGGATAATTAACTAATAAACGTGAACAAGAGTTGGGAGTAGAGATGGCGCAGCAAGTATGTGACACTTATTTGTCACCCATTGCAACACGTTGCAACTCCAAAATTTTATAAGCC